ATGATTCAGTTTAAGTGCTGTTTTACTTATCTACTGTTGGAATGCTTTCCTCATTAATTTTCTATTGAACTGACACAATATTAATTTGGCATCCCTGCGCGAGAATACTTTTGAATTGAAATCTTGTATATTATATTTACTACTAGAATTACTATTTAAGTGTTATGGATCAGTTAAAAAAGTTACAAACACCTCTTAGAAACTCATTTACGCACATAGCTAATGGTCTTGAGAACAACAATGTTGACGAGGAAAATAAAAATATTGAAGAGATTGAAATTTTATCTACCCAGTTAGAAGAAAAGTGGTGCGAACTTAATCTTAAAGAAAGGGAATTACAAGATCTTCTAAAAGATGAAAAGTGTTCTCAAGCAGAATTTGATAAAAAATATGATTTTTTTTTTTTTTTTTTTTTTTATGAAGAGCGATTTGTCAGATTAAGGACAAAAGTGCACAAAGTTTTAACAAACATTAAAAACGAAACTGTTTCTCAAATGGTTAATGATTCATCGAAACGGAAGTTTAAGCTTCCTAAAATAGAATTTAAATTGTTCGGCGGTGATATCAAAGAATGGTTGTCATTTTGGGCACAATTTCAGAAGATACACAATAATAATGAAATCGCGAAGGAAGATAAATATCAGTATTTATTACAAGCGAATTTAAAGGGTTCAAGGGCATGAGAACTTGTTAAATCATTTCCGGCCACAGCTGATAGTTATAAAAACGTATTACAATGTTTGAAGGCAAGATTTGGCCGAGATGACATGTTAATCGAAGTGTATATTAGAGAAGTTCTTTCATTGATGATGAATAACGCAATTGGTAAAGGTCCTAAAATGCCTCTTTTTAAACTGTACCGTAAGATTGAAACTTACTTAAGGTCTTTCAATATGTTATGTGTTTTCAGCACAAATTATTCTTCAATTTTGTATCCATTGATTGAATCTTGTTTGCCTTGAGAGTTTGGGGAAGAAATTTGAATTCCACATCCCTATCATCTAAAGACGAAACTGTTGATAAGTTAGATAATCTGATGAAATTTTTATGTCACGAGATTGAAAGCAAAGAGAAAGTGCATCTAGCACGGACCGGGTTTAATCATGAAACCAAAATCAAAATTATTTCACCCGCATCAGCACGACGGGAAAGATTTACTGCGAGAGGTGCACAGTTATGTAATTCTTCGGATATTAAAAAAGAAACTTGTGTATTTTGTAACAAAGCACATATAAGTAGACAGTGTAGGTATGATGATAATTTGCCTTATGAAGAGAAAAAGCAAATATTATTAAAGAAGAGCACATATTTCAGATGCTTAGCAGTAAGAAAACATATTTCTCGATTTTGTAAAATGAAAGTAGCACCCTGTGAGATTTGCGGTAAGGGTCATTTTAAATTAATGTGTACTGAAAAATGTTATCCCGAAAATTCGAGCCGGTCGCTCCAGGTTGAGAAGAAACAAATCGAAAATGAGGACTCCGCTCTATCTAACAAAGCAGCCACTCGTAAAGTTCTCTTGCAAACACTTATTGTTCGTCTTAGGAATAAGAATAAAATGAAATACATAAGGTACTAATTGACTCAGGCAGCAGTAAATCTTACTTGTCAAATTTTGCAATAACGGAAATGGGATATGAATGTGTTGATGAAGAAATTTTAAGAGATAGTTAATTCAATGGTATAGAAAATTCAGTGGTATAGTATTGACGGAAACACATAAGAGATATTTGATTCGTCTTAGTGACTTTTCGGATAATTATCGATGTAATTTCGAGGTGTTAAATCAAGAACAAATTTCTTCCAAAATCCCAAAAATACTACGTGGTCATTTTATGAGTGAAATTAAGAAATACAAAATTTTCCTGTCTGATTTGAATGATAAAATAGATCTGTTGTATCAATTCTCTCCTAACGAAATTCATGTACTCGTAGAAGCAGATGTCACAGGTAAACTGTATACCAGAAACATAAAACCATTACACTCAGGTCTAGTTTTGATGGAAATGTGGCTTGGATGGACAATAATAGGTAAAACTGATACGATCAAAACTTTAGATAGCACAAATAGCGTTATGTCGCTATATGTAAACAATGCAAAAATTTCAGACTTATGCCAACTTGATACACTTCGAATTTTGGCCCTGGAGAGAAGGGAAGTCAAGAAGAGCTTGAGATGCAGCTGAAGAACATTTTAACAGAAGTGTGAAATTAGATGCTGATGGAAGGTACGTTGTAAGCCTCCCATGGATACAAGGCCATCCTCCTTTGCCCACTTGCAAAAATGTTGCAGAACGAAGGCTAAAGGGCTGCATTGATTCACTGAAGAGGAGTGGAAACTTTGAAGCATACGAAGAAGTATTTAGAGAGTGGCTTCAAGAAGACGTTATTGAAGAAGTTAAGAACTTCTGTAACGAAGAAAGTGGACACTACCTCCTTCACAGGGCTGTAGTGATGGAAAATTACACTACAAGAGTGAGACCTGTTTTTGATGGATCGCCCAGAGAAAAGAATTCACCTTCTATCAACCTGCCTGGAAAAGGGCCCCAACGCCGTCGAACTCATTCCAGCCATTATAAATTGATTTAGATTAAAGAAAATAGGCGTTTTATTGCAGACATTCGTAGAGCCTTCCTACAAACAGGACTAAGTGAGAGTGATCAACCATATCTAAAGTTTTTATGGTGGGAGGGTGGTGATTCTGCCAAACCTATTTTCCAGCATAGACGGGTTGTGTTCGGCCTTTCTTGTTTCCCGTATCTTTTGGAAACCATTCGATTTCATTTACGGAATGCTCCTAACCATTTTAAAAAAACAGTCACCAAGCTATTGGAATCTTTTTAAGTGGATAACTGTGTTACCAGTGTGGAAAATCCTGAAGAACTTGAGAAATTTATTGAGAAATCCAAACTGGTTCTTAGCACTGCCAAATTTGAACTTCGAGAGTGGGAGCACAGTTATAATAATCAAGAATCTGAAATCCCTTTGCCGAAAAATGAAAAGAAATTTTCAGTTCTAGGGCTTAAGATGCTTAAAGAATGATGCTTCGACAGTAGATTTACGAGAAAATGTCGAAGACAATACAGCTGTGACCAAGAGAAAAATCCTGTCAGCCGTACATAAAATTTTTTATCCCCTTAGCTTCACCTGTCCTGTTACTTTGGGAACAAAAGTCCTCCTACAAGAGTGCTGGAAATTGAAAGTATCATGGGATAATGAACTTCCTGCCACCATTGCAAAGAAGTTTGAGAAGTGGGGACGGGAACTTTCTAAGCTGAAAGAAGTAGAAATTTCTCGATGTCTTATTCCCAATTGTGAAGTACCAAGAAGTCCATTACATGTATTCTGTGACGCGAGTGAGATAGCTTATGCGACTTGTATTTTCTTCCAAAATGAGACGGAAACTTCAATGACCTGCCAACTTGTTCAGGCATGATGTAGAGTTGCACCGCTGAAATCTGTTTCTATTCCGAGAATGGAACTTCTCTCCTGCAACATTGGAGCTAGATTAGCTCAGAGTGTGACTAATGACCTAAAAATGGAAAATAGTCCGAAGTTTTTCTGGGCTGACTTGGCAGACACTTTGTATTGGATTAAGGAAAACAAAAATTGGGCTCCCTTCATTTTTAATCAAGTGCAAGAAATTCGTTCTATGAGAAATCCTGAAGACTAGCATCATGTACCAGGTCCATTGAACCCAGCAGATCTTCCATCATGAAGATGTAATGCAGAAACATTACGAAAATCTTGATGGTGGGAAAGACCATTGTGCTTGAAAAAAACCAATGGAAGAATGGCCAAATTCTAACGTAATTCCTGATTTCGATAATACAATAAATTTAGGAAAAGACTCTTGTTAGCACAGTTAATCACGAAGAGTCATCCCAGGAAAAATATTATGACCAATTTTCTTTGTACAACCAACTTCTTAGAGTCACTGCATGAAGTTGTACAGAAGAAATCATTTCAGGACCGGATGATAAACATTTGAAAATGATACTCTGAATTAGCATGGTTACTCTGATTCTAATGGTATTTTGAAAGTTAAGAGTCGAATTTTAATGAGAAAAGATACCAATTTCAAACTCTTGGGCAACAGACATCAAACTATGCCCTTCCTCAAGCTCACCAATTATCCCACAATGTGCAAAGGCATCCTGATGATTTCTTGTAGCCGTACTACATGTACAATTTTATATGCGGAAACCTTCCTTTCTTCATTTTAAGTTGCTTTGCACTGCACACACTGATTCCTTGTATTTTGCATGCAGACGTACCCTCTGACATTATGGCGCTGATATCTGCATACACTTCACCCTTCTACTGAGCTGACTTTTAATGTACTGATCACAAAAAGCCCTTTTCAACAATTTTATGGTTGTAAATTAAAAAATGAATTTGTTCTTTAAGTTTTGCACACTAGCATATAACAAAATTCTCAGACCAAATATTATAATTTTTAGATCTGTTACCTTCACTTCTATGAACACTAAATTACACAGATGCATAGTTAATATTAATCTTTTAATGCTTTCTCCATTAAAATAGTCCAAAATAATACCTTATTTTATCGAAGATAATTAAAATTGAACTATTAGTGATTTGAAAATGAGTGCAATAAGTTTAATTTGGCAGAAGGGAAGGCTTAAAAACTTGATTAACATTTGCTGTTGGAGAGGCACATAGTGGTTATACATTTTAGTGGAAAACATTTTATAGTTGCCCAAGTTAGTTAGACATGACCTTGAAAAATTTGTCAGTTATCAATGCTCGAGTACACCTGCATGGACAGCTACTGCGAAACATAAAAGTGACTCCCTCATTTTTTTCCCATGCTAATTACAGAAATAGGAAATATTAAGAAATTTATAACAAAATCACATAAAACTGAATATAAAAAATATTAATTATTTAATTATGAATTTTCTTTAATCAAATTATACAAATGTAAATGTATTAAAATATTCCAAAAATTATTATCATCTAAAAGACTATCTTACTTTCCAGATGTATTTTCAATCATACTGGTTTCAGTTAATGAACTACTTCCAGAAAATGATGCCTGAACTTTAGTTTGAATAGCAGAGTTTTCTAGTAATTAAAATAGAAAAAGACAAAATGTAAAAATTAAACAGAAAGAAAATATGGTTCTTTTCTGCTAACAAGATACCACTTTCCACTAAACATAAATGTTGGCATGAAATTTAACTAGATGGCAACCTTAAAAATACATAGTTTCATAAAAAGAATGCTTATTTTAAATATAGAATAAATACACCCCTTCTCAAAAACGACAATGTAGATTTTACAAGACTAATTTCGGATTACAAAGATATGGAACATAAAGCCGTTCATTTTATTAACACTGGCTTTTGTATCTTCTGATCAGTGGAGTAAATAGGGGTAGGCAAGGTATGCCACAGTATAGGGATCCAAAGCCTTTGGGACCCTTAAAGTGTTCTGTTACACTGAACTGCATTAATATACTACATTTATTAAAAAATGGTTTCTATAAAACATGAACATAATACAATGAAAGAACCTTGGCCACACAGCAAACAAACTGCACTATTGTGTTAAGTATACTGCACAAAAAAGGGGGGACAGTTCTATATATTTCATTCTACTGGGCCAATTGATGAAATTCAACTTGCGTTTTTCATGCCTCGAAAGTGCGACTTAGAATATGTATTAGATTTATATATAGCATTGTTCTAATATAGGTATTTTGACACAAATTGGACTTTTTCTGAAATAACATATCAATATTTTTCCATATTTTGATTTTACAACTCAAATTATGCCAAACTACCAAGTTTTGTAAAAATCGCATGAATAGTTTTTAAAAAAATTAGCTCTCAAAATTTTAGCTCCTCCATGTTAATTGAGTTTGGTATATATTTATTAATCTCTCTTTTTTTAATTAAACTTATTTGATTCTTCCTTTCACATTTTGAAATTTAGGTTCATCCCAAATAAAATTCACTCATTTTTTATGATTTATTTTTAAATTTTTTATTTTTAAATAATTTTATAAATTTTTCAAAAAAAATTTTGAATTATTAATCTATAAATTTTTACCACATTCTTAAAGTAGACATATCTCTAAGCATACCTGAAAAAAACTTACAGTTTTTTTATTCAAAATTTCTGAAGATATACCTGAATTTATATATTGGTGCGTTTTGAAATTTGGTATATTTGTTGAAAGCGATAAAACACCAAATGTGGTATAGACACTTTGCGAAAATTATTTGGAAGTAGAAACCCAGTGACTTTTTTTCCCCTCATGCACAATGTAAAAAGGTTAGAACGAGGTGCCTTTTTTCCACTCCGGCATAATGGAAAGGAAAGGAAAATTGGTTGCACACATTAAGAAGTTTGCTAAGTGAATTATTCTAGCCAAAAACTAAAAAAATTGCGTTAAGATAAATTTTTGAATTCCTCTGTAAATTTTGCACCCAATTTAATATTTAGGCATAATTTGAATCGTAGAATCAAAATATGGGAAAAAACTGGTATGTTATTTCAGAAAAAGTCTGATTTTGAGTGAAAATACTTATGTTAGAACAATGCTATATGTAATTCTAATACATATTCGAACTTGCGCTTTCGAGACATGAAAAAAACAATTTGAATTTTGTCAATCAGCCCAGTAGAATGGGAGATATAGAACTGCACGCACCTTTTTTTTTTTTTTTTTTTTTTTTGCACAGTGTACATCAAAATTTCAAAAGAAAGCAAATTTAAATTAAAAAAAAAAAAAAAAAGGCCGTTCATGTTTGTTTTCTTCGCCAGATGAGCACTTTCAAATCATTAGTAATGAACTAATGGTAAATGGTTATCATGCTTATTCTGAGAAAAATTCTAAATTTCTTGAGGTATGCGTGTGGCAAACATGGGAAAAATGAAAGTACAGAAATTCAGAACCACCTGTAGTTCACTAGAACCAAAGAACTTCAAAGGAGACGGGTAGGAATTTTTTTGCTAAAACTCCTAGTTTCTGAAAGTGATCTTGCATTATTAACACATGATATGAATAAAATGTGTATATTAGCTTAGATTAGGATTACTAATACTGATAATAAAATCTTATTCTATATAATTAATAAGGTATTTATCAATTGTTGTAAATGTATTTTTAACCTTTCGCATCACACAGAAAAAGGGATACAATATAACAAATTATCAGGATCATGAAAATTAATGTAATATTCTCAAACGTGGGCCCTTCAGAAGAATTACTGTAATAGAATGATCATTTTAACAAGCATTGAACATATCGAGTTTTAACGATAGTTTCCCACCACTGCAAATATTGTCTGCGCAAACAGTTTATGTTGGTGTGTTTAATCATATTTTGTCAAAAGACATTTGGCATTTGAAAAAAAGAGACTAAAAACATATCATTAAATACAAGGCATCTGAAATGGAGCTATCATGCTACCAGATTAGAACCATCATTTACTTAAAGTTCTGCTGCAAAAAGTCAGCTATAGAATGTCATCACCAAATCATGTGTACAGGTATTGATGTAGTATCATATGACACTGAGAAAGTTTAGTATCGAAAGTTAAAAAACCAGGCCTATGACATTAAGATGGAGAGTGCTCTGGCTAGGCTACTGATGTTAATGAGGCCTGCCTGTGAGAACTTGTGGAAGAAGTTCAATATGCAATCACTCGAGAGCTTGCTAAGAAATTAGATATTAGTGCCATGTCCATTAGTCATGCTATGCATTGCATAAACATGACATACAAGTTCAATCGCTGGGTGTGGCATGAGCTGACTCAAGCAGGTAAGGACACATGTGATCGGGCCTGCACTAATCTGCTTTAATATCAACACAAGGGCAAAATTCTGGACTGGATTGTCACTTGTGAAGAAAAGTGGATTACTTCAACAACAAAGGCCAGAAAGAGGATTGGTGTATGCTCGGTGAGCCTGTCAGCAGCATCGTATACCATAGTTTGACTAACAAAAAGATCATGCTTTGTATCTGGTGGGATTGCCGTGGTATTATCCACGAAGAGTATCGGGAAAAAGATAAAACTCTCGACACTAAGGTATACAGAGAGATGTTATTCCGTGTTGAAGTTGCTAAAGCATCGAACTGAGTTCCAGCATGAAAAGGTGATGTTCCATCAAGATAATGCAAAACCACATGTGTCTTCATTCAGCTGGACTCTATAAGGACTCGAATGGGATTTTTTGCCATCACCACAATATAGCCCAACATCGCTCATTCAGACATCTACCTTTTTTCACATCTGCAGCTACAGCTTGCTGGAGCTATCTTTCATTCTGCACATGATGTCTGAAATTAGGTTGATCTGTTTTTGGACTCATGGCCACCAAGTTTCTGGGTTGAAGGCTTTGAAAATCTACCACAACATTGGCAGAATATCATAGATTTCGTGTTGGTGATTCATATGTGCACTAAAGATACTGCTTTCATTTTTCCCCCTAACTTTATTAAGAACAATTTCATTTTTTCCCCTAACTTTATTATTTTTTGGCAAAAAACTTTCTTTACAGCCAGATAGTAACATTATTAGCATGCTTGGTTTAGAATGGAGACACATACACATTCACTTTCCAAATCAGAGAAAATTTAAATAAGGTACGGTGACAGAGGAAAATCAAATATTTTGCTTTAACACTGCATGAAAAGTTCTAGAAGATATTCTTAAAAACACCAAATGATTGTGTGCATGCAAATTTTAATAGCTTAATAAGCTTTTCATATATAAATAATTATATGATTAACCCAAAAAGGATTATTACCTAGAAGCTTCTCAGAAAGGTGAAGCCTTATTTGAAGCTTCTCATAAATAATGTTTCTTAATTTTTTTGTATACATTTGTATTAGAGACTATTTATATGTGCTAATGTGCAATCAGGCCCTTGTCAACTGTTCGACAAAAAGATACTTATTTAAAATAAGCATGATTCTGTTTTGAATGTCGTAAAAAATATACTACCTTTTTTATTTTGTAGAAACTGACAGTGCTCTTATCAAAACTCGAACATATGACTTTCCATTATCAGATTCAATGTACTCACTGTTAACTTACCAAATGTACTTGAAGCAACATACAGTCAAAAGTCGTTAATCCGGACTCGTCGGGACTTCGCCGATTCCGGACTATCGACTTTTCCGGATTATAGATCATCAGTTTAAATCTGGTAAAATGGCATGCAGAAATTATAAAATTAAAAATATGAAACCGTAATTTACGAAATAAAGAACAATTATGATCTAAAGGGTATCAAAATTTACAAAAAAAAAAAAAAAAAAAAAAAGCTTAATATTTATTTCTTTACTTTATTAAACATTTCTTTCAATGTAAGTTGTTTAAGTTGCTTCGTTTTTTATGTAATAATACATTCTCTTTAATTCTATAAACAGACATAATTTCTTGTTCAGTTAAAAAGTTCCGCTGTTCAAGTCCTATAATTGCTGTGTCGAGAATACCGACTAATTTGTCAATCGAAATTTTTTCGTTTTCAATAACCTCTGTCACTTTCTTTGCTATCGGAAGCGAATTACAATGATGAGGCATTTGATTTAAATCATATCAAAGACGGAGTACATCGAGATGAAATACTACATTGAATAAGCAATTATAAGCCAAATAAAATAAAACATCTGCCCTTAAGATAAGGATAGTGCTCACAGATTAACTGATCAACTTCCATTCCTTGCAGGCCGCGGCGGCGTTAAAGATAAACAAACGTTAAAGTTTAGATAAACAAACGTTAAAGTTTAAATAAGCAAAGGATATGCCTTTATCCATTTTTTGCAGCAATTCCACTTTTTGTTTAATGTACTCCGAAAGATACTTTCGCTTTGTATATCCTTTACATATTAGTAAATATATATCGGAAATTCTATTTGACATAATCGAAAGTTCAAGCTTACTTTTTATAAAATTGCTCTAACAGTCTGCAAAAAAATAATAATCCGGATCCAATTCGAAGATTAAGGAACAACGCAATCTGCAACATTAACTGAAATAGATAATTAGATAATTTTAGCTTAGCTTATCCCGTCCGTTATACATTAAACGCGCATTCGTAAACGTATTTTGCGCACGCGCACACGCAAATTCGCAGCGGTAAAGGTCTTACGCGCAAGCGTCAACGCGACGCATGCGCAGAAAGTTTGTAGCTTTGAGGTCCGGATTATAGATCATTCCGGATTATGGGTGTCCGAATTAACGACTTTTGACTGTATAAGAATTTTATGAATTCTTACATGTTGCAGTTTTACAAATTTTCAGTTTAAGTTTCCTACAAATTCATTATTTTAGAAATGCTTTAACATTAGAATCATTTTCATTAATATTTAGAAGACCTCATTTAAAACTGACTGCATGTGCAAAATTTAAACTAATATTAAAAAGATTGGCAGTTTACAATCAATGAGAATTATTATGACAAATATTCTTAAACAGAAATGTAAGTTTTGTAAGTGAAATAAAAGCTTTTTATTTCATTTCTATAAATTATGATTATGAACATTATCTCATCTCTTTTTTTCCCCTGTAAAACAGGATGTTCAGGGTTTTCTTGGATTTTTCTCCATTAAATCATTTCAGAATAGCCAAATATCTTCCCATTCTACATAATCGAGAATTTATGAATGTTGTACTAAGACTTTTAAGTTAAAATCAAGTAGCTTAACTGTTTTATAATTAGATATTTTCCCTTATGTAATTTTTTACTTCACACTTTTTTGATTTTTTGATTTTTTTCAGAATTTTACGAAATCTTCTATACACAGTATTTACAAATGATAATAATAATAATAATAATGCAGATTATATTTTTACATGATAATTAAAACACATAAGCATTATATGCATTGTATCCTTTCCCCTTATTTATATCATTAGCTTTTGGAAGCTGAATATTGAAAATAAGGAGTACATTTTTATTGTAATATTATATAATTAATAGGAGTTCATAGTATGTGAATATAAAAGTTCTGTAGTTTTATTTACCTTAAAACTGTAAAATGCAGCAGTACAACCGCATTCAACACCCTTTGTCCATCACCACAATTTCTAGTTTGAATAGCCAGAAGCTAATGGTTGGAAGCTCTGGCATAGCAATCACTTTGAGACAAAAAGCATATCCAGATGTGCTGTTGGTACAGCTTTTAGAAGTGCAAATGGATAGAGAAATATTTTCCCTTCTTAATTCATTTCAGATTTGAGGGTTTTGTAACACCTTTAAAAATTTGAACTAATATATTTAGGACATTGTAAGCATTTAAATGGAAACCTAAACACTGGAGTAAGTAATTATAAGCAGCTCAGTTTTAAGTGAGACATTCCTCTGGGGATAGAATCCTAGCAATTGAAAAACCTATTTTGAAAAGAGGAAAACTTAGGCTCCACTGCTAGAATTCTGAAGGAAAAAAAAAAAAAAAAAGCATATGTTGAAGCCTTTTGAGGAAAGGGCCTAAAAATCAGTTACATCTTACCTGATTTGTCAGATGAGTTTTAATCTGTGGCATTGGTTAAAAAAGTTAATGCACCTTCATAACTAAGAATTCCTAAATACAAATCACTCTGGATTCTAAAATGTGTTTGTTATCTACTAAATCAAAGGATATCTTATGACTTCGGGAAATTTGTATGCAGAAGTACAGAAATTCAAATTTAAATATTTGAAGGAAAGTTTTATTAATGATAACTTTTACACAATAACAGCCAATTAAAAATTATATTTTAATACTTACATGACTCTCCGTTTTCTGTGCGAAAGATATGTAATTTGTTTTAAGAAATTTTATTACTCAATATTTATGTCTAGGCTCAATATTTAAAGAAATAAATCTGAAGAGATCTTTGTCAGGCACTCTTTGCAATAGCATACAAATTAAAATAAATTGTTCTTTCAACAAAATTTTGCAATGAATTGAAAACTGGTGGTAAATCTGCTTTCGGTGGTAACAATTTTAATAAATAATCATATATACACAACACTTTGCTTCTTAAGCTTCCAATATAAATGTATGATTTTAAGATCATATAATAGTATATTGTTTATGTTACAAGAAGGGCTCATATTTGCTTGTTGCAAATGTTTGAATAATTCATATTTGTGAGCTAAATAAATCATGGCGCATTACTGGAATAATTTCATTTTGTATATTTGTCTTATTATACCATATATCAGAGAGTCAATGACTTACTTAACCAGTTCTTCATTCTTTTCTTGAAAATCACAAATAATAATATTAATAAAGCAGTAAATAATTATATTAATTCAGATTGTCACAGATTTCATATAAATCTCAAAATACAGTTTTATATAGAATCTTCGTCAATCTAGGCTTCCTTCCTCTTAAATTCTATATTTTACATACTTCCTCTTAGCTCTGCATTTAACATAGTGAGTGACTTTTCTTGTATTCATTTATTTGTCAGCATAACATGACCTACAGAAAGAAATATTTCATTCTCCTTCATTGTGCTGAAGAATTCAAAAACATTTTTATTGGGGTTAGTGTTTTAACTGTTTTGGAGTAAGATTTAAATTTTAAGATAAGAGTTAATTTGAAAATGCTTCTGCTAGATCTTATTTTTTTCTTTTCAGGAGGAGGATTTTAGGATTGTCCATTTTGTGGTTAGCATCATTATTCTGTTAAAACTTGAGAGATTTGATGAAGTTTGGTTTTATGAAATTTTGGGCAGCCATCGATTCTTAAAAGTAAGGTAGATATTCTATCTATATTGCATACAAACACTTCATATTGATATATTTAAACATGAACCTGATTTCTTTAATAGTGTGGATTATAATTTTGAAATAAAATGTTCCAATGAGAGTTTCCAATTCCACTGTTCATTACACGTGATTTTTTTTATTATCGTCTCATGTCATGAAATGGATTTATAACAAAATTAAAGTTGTCAAATTAAACATATTTCTAACTTTAAAGAAATAAAAATTACAAGTTTTAGGCAAAGAATTAACTTTTTAAACCATTCGCTATAGCACTCTGATGGGTTCTCTGATATTGCCAGAGGTTTTTGATCGCATTCGTGGAAGAATTTCAAGGTCTATTTTTATGCCTGTAAAGTTTGTCGATGGCATTTTAGATTGAATTTTTCTCTATAGCATTGCTATGTCGTTGAAGCTTTACTTCTACTCCCAATTCAAATTCTTTGGTTAAACATTTTGTGCCATAAGTTAATTATTTCACATTTTTTACATCACCAAAATTTTATCTTTTATAGAGTGAAAACAATAACACTTGATGTCAGATGTTGAAAAATGAGGGATAAATATACACACACACCAAACACACATGCACCCCCCCAAAAAAAATCAAGTAAATTTCTTAATTTTTGCTTCTATTCCCTAAGAATTCAAGATTTTTATCCAACTCTGTTTAAAGTACATAAAATTACACTGACAGTTTATAAAATTTGCAATAAAAATAACAAAATAAATAATTTAAAATAGATCCTTTTAACAAATAAAAATTTAGTTGAAAAGAAATATAGGATATTTACCTTGATTATTTACAATTACGGATACTCGATCTGAGCATTCATGGATCATGCACAGTACTTGATTAACTTCTCTCTTTTTTTCCAATATTTTACTGAAACCTAAAAATAAATAAATTAACAAAAAACTTAAAACTTAAGAAATATTTACTTCAACTTTTAAATTACAAAATTTATTGGTGTGTCTAAAAAATTACAAAACTGATTAGAAAAGTTACCCTCATACCTGCTAAAATATTTTTAACATCTTATAAATAATAAAAATTTAAAAAAGAAAACCATAATTTAGATGACAATAAGCCTGTCATATCTTGATGATATTAGATGCAATCAGCAAGCAAATTAAATATGATGTACTCCAACATATTTATACTATGTCATAAGCTATATTATCAGGGAGAGACAGAATGACCCTTTATGAAGTACCATTTTTATTCTTATATAGTACTTTCCGACAAAACTCATTTGGATCAAATTTGTTTTTTAAACCACCCTGAAACTTGGTCATCTTGAAAGCTACCCAGAAAAGTCATAATGATTCAGTTTCTTATTTCCACATCAGCTAAATACTAGCTTTCCATATGCACCCTAAGACGGATTAACCTATTTTAGGGCCCTAGACATTTTTTCCTGCTGGGCCCCTACACCCGAGGTGTTACATAGTTTTTACGAGAACTTTCTAACATAGTAATAAATGTCATTTATATATAACAATAATTAACAAAAATTTTCAGTTTTATAAAAATCTTTAATACAGCTCCTATTGTTAGTATAATTTTAAACATGAGTTTGATTATGTATCAGTACAATCAACAGAATTGGAACTTTTTGTTTATATGCCATAAATTAAGAAACAAAATTTATTCTGTTAAATGTAAAAAAACCATAGTTTTGAAAAAAAAAAAAAAAAAAAGATTATGAAATTAATTCAAAAATCCTTTTTTCTGTCTTTCAATTCTGCAAATTTATCAATTATTTCTTCATAATTAATACTGTCCAACACATTTTGTTCTATGTGCAGTACATCTAAAGTTAACTTTGTTTGATTTAATAAGTTTTGTAAATAGTATTTTATGTGTTCTGGCACCAAAAACAATCTTTCACCAGATACATTCGATACAGGCAAAGTTAAAAATATACCTAATATAATTTCCATATCTGGAAATGTCGATACAATTTTTGTACTCCTTATAAATCATAGCATGTCAGATTGCAACGTTAAATTTTGGCTTTTACAAAGTAATAGAAAATGTAACAGTTTTTCTCATCCAATTCTTCAGTATTATTCTGTTCACTGTACCATTTTTTTAGTAATATGGTATCTTCAGATTCAATTGAGACATTGTCATTTGAGAGCATATGAAATATTTTAAAAATCTCATTAATGTCTTTGTAACTTTTGCTATGCATATTTAGTTCAAAAGATATTTTGTCAAATATTAAGCAATTTCATTTAAAGGCTTCTTCACCCTGATTACATGAGCTGTTGTCGTCCTCATCATGATGAACTGTATCAAAAATTATAACTATATTTTTTAATGCAGTTTTGGAGCCCATTGTATTTTTCAGACATATTTGCCGCATTGTCATAGCTTTGTTCTCTGAAGTTGCAAATATCCCAACTTAATAGTTCAAGATTCTATAAAGCTCCATTTTCTAATGATTTTCCTATGCGCAAATAAATTGGTAAAAATTTAAAAAAAAAAAAAAAAAAAAAAAAAAACCTCTTTCAATTGGGATTTCATTTTCTGATACATAAAGCAATATAAAAGCTAACTGGTCTACATGTATTATATCAGATGTACAGTTAATAATAATTGAAAAATATTTGACGGCTTTAACTTCTGACACAAATGTTTCTAACATTTTTTGTTCAATATTTCAATAAATTCATCGCAATAGATGATGAAAGATAACTCATGTTGCTTCTTCTAGCTGACCTGATTTTTTTTATATGTGAAGTTAAAAACTCATCAAATTCTGCCAAATATTCTAGAGCTTCTGTGTCATTTCCATTATGGGAAGCAGAAAAGAGTTACTCTTGTACTTTGTGGCCCAAAACCAAAAAACTGATTCTTTCTTGTTTTGTTGGTCTTCTGTGTTTTTGTTGTGTTGCCTGGACTCGTGCTGGCAGCGACTGCTGAAAGTGCAGAGTTATACGTCATACTCATAGTCTGTTTCAGTCCTTTGCTGAGCATCTGCATATAGACACTCAAGAGCCAAAACATTATGACCAGCCCTACATTTTGCGATGAACGCGCTTGGATGACGTGGAAGGCACGCGATCAGGTGGAAGTGGTATTTAACTGCTGCTGGAGAATCTGAAGAATCATTCTTTCACTTACTTCTGTGTGTGATGGGAAAGGCTGCGGATCTAAGCGACTTTGATAGAGGGCAGATTGTAATGGCTTGAAGGCTCGGAACAAGTATTTCCGAAGCTGCACGACTCGTGGGTTGTTCATGATCTACAGTTGCTAGTACGTATGAAAAGTGGATGAATGATGGTGAAACCAGCAGTAGACGACATGGTGTTGGACGTCCACACACTATCAAAGAAAAAGGTTGTCGGAGACTGTTTCGCATGGTGAAGCAAAACCAGAGTCAGACAGCGGCTCAGCTGACAGCCGAATGCAATGCAGGGCCAAGTAGAAAAGTATCAGAAAAGACTGTTCAGCGGACACTGTTGGATGTGGGGCTACGCAGCAAACGTCCCACTCGTGTGCCTTTGCTGAGCAAGTGTCATCGCCAACTGCGCCTGCGCTGGGCCCGGGAACATCGTGACTGGTCCATGGATCAGTGGGAGAGAGTTGCCTGGTCAGATGAATCACGGTTTGTTCAGAATGAATGACCAGAGTTGCCTGGTCATTCATCACGCCGATGGCTGTGTCAGGATACGGCGTCTTCCAGGCGAACAGTTGCTCCCCCAATGCACAGTAGGTCATACACAGGCCGGTGGTGGTGGTATTATGCTCTGGGAGACGTTCTCTTGGGCGTCTCTGGGACCCTGTGGTTGTGGTAGGGCAGACCATGAATGCTATGCTACAGGGTTGTCCTGTTGGAACATTCCATTTCCAGCTGGAAAACCATGTAAGGGTGCAACTGGTCCGCAATGATGTTCAGATACCCTGTAACATAAGTGTCACTTATCACTTATGCTACAGGGTATCTGAACATCATTGCGGACCAGTTGCACCCTTACATGGCCTCTGTTTTTCCAGCTGGAAATGGAATGTTCCAACAGGACAACGCCCCGTGTCACGAGGCTACAATTGTGTTGGAGTGGTTCCAGGAACATGATGCTGATTTCCAGTTAATGTCCTGGCCGCCTAACTCACCAGATCTCAATCCGATAGAACACATTTGGGATGTCATGGGACGGCAGCTCAGAGGTCAAAGACCACCAATTCGCAATATCTCGAATTTGCGTGACTGTTGCTACAACAGCTGGGTACAATCTGTCTCCGGCCATCTATCAAGGACCTGTGGCATCCATGCCAAGGCGGGTTGAAGCTGTGTTGCCCACCAAAGGTGGCACAATTCGTTATTGATAGGTAGTCATAATGTTTTGGCTCTTGAGTGTAGTTGAGCCCTTGCCACCTTTCCAAGGATACTCCTACCTTTTAACACTTGTTGACAAATTCTCCTGACGGCTGGAAGCAATGTTAATGAAGGATATTTCAATGGAAACTGTCGCTCAGGTGCCTTTTTACCTATTGGATAGCTAGGTTTGGAGTTTCATCTACCATAAGTACGGATCAGGGCTGGCAGTTTGAGTCGCACATGTTCACTACTTTTAATAAACTTCTTGGTGTTCACTGAACTCAGACTAATGCATAGCATCTTGCAACAAATGGATTCCTTAAGAGATTTCATGTCTAAAATAGACATTCATTTGCCATAATAATGTCAAGTGGACAGCGAGTCTTTCAATTGTGCTTTTTGGTCTTCTATAAACATATAAAGAAAATCTGAGTGGAACCTGCTCTTAGATGGTCTATGAAACTACATTTAGACTTTCCTCAGAGTTTTGCAACCCACCCAAATTTATAATTCTATCAACCAGATTTCATATATACAGAAATTGTGTGAGGCAATGAAAGAGTCTCCAGTATCCACATCAGCTCATGTTAGCAATAAGTATTTTGTGCATCCAGCTTATAGGCCATCATACAGGGTGAGTCAATGGTGGTTTCAATGCATCATGCCTCACAAACACGTGAGTGCATAGCTTTGCCCTCCAATTGATCCTTGTTGACGGATTTAGAGTGTACTCATTCCAATTGCAGGATCTCAAAAGAATCCCCCATTGTTAATTTTCGTCACTACCTGCCCATTCTGGGAGTAGATAACTTGTGCACCTGCTGCCTTCCTTGGATGTGGTAGCCATTTCTCAAGCTCCCTCTCTAGAATCGAACCCTGATTTCCCGTCACCTGTTATGACCATGGTAGGCACGTAACCTACCATTGACAGTTGGTAAGGCAGACATTTGAAAGATACGTATGACCATGGTAGGCACAAAACCTACCATTGACAGTTGGTAAGGCAGATATTAGAAAGATACGTTGTTGGGAAGAGCCCGTGCAATCAGCACAAAGTTATACAGAGTCAGAGTCACCACATGATATGGACATAAGGTCTGATTGGTTTTGGTCTAATAAAAGCGCTCATCCCCAGGAGGGTCAGAGCTCTGCTCCATGTATTAGCTCTAGAGAGCGGTACACAAAACAAAGTCGAAAACATTCACCAATATAAAAAAAAGTATTTGTTTTCATGAATATATGTTTTATTAAATATTTTAAATAAATTTATATACGTTATATTTCATGAATATACATTTTATAAAATTCATGAATATACATTTTATTAATAGACGTTTTATTAAAAAAAGTAGTGAAGAAATTTTAATATATATTTGATTCTTCCAAAATATGTAAATGTAAATATCCCTGAGAATTTCCTCAAATGGACGAAATTCAGCAAGATACAACTCCACATGCCCTGATGTTTTTTATTTCTCCATTTGGAACTGCCCAAAAGTCCTTTAATTTTTTTTTTTTTTTTTTCCATATTTATACCAGTGTCAGCATTGACAAAATTATACCTGTGGTTGACT